AAATTTGCTTCGGGTTGCGACCAAATTCGGAGGGCGGATTAACCGTATTTAGATTTAACCTTATGGGGGAAATTTGCTTCGGGTTGCGACCAAATTCGGAGGGCGGATTAACCGTATTTACATTGAACCTTATGGGGAAATTTGCCTCGGGGTGCGACCAAATTTGGAGGGCGGAATGGATTAACCGTATTTACATTGAACCTTATGGGGGAAATTTGCCTCGGGTTGCGACCAAATTCGGAGGGCGGATTAATCGTATTTACATTGAACCTTATGGGGAAATTTGCCTCGGGGTGCGACCAGATTTGGAGGGCGGAATGGATTAACTGTATTTACATTGAACCTTATGGGAAAATTTGCCTCGGGTTGCGACCAATTTGAGTTGCGACCAGAGTCACGGAACGGATTAAGTTCATAACCCGAGGTACCACTGTATTGCAATATCTTAGAAAAAATGGCTGCTACTGGCAATTATGGTTGAGTGACTCCATTTCCCAAATTCATCAGATTACTTCATCTTAGTGCTCATAAAGTAACAAAAAATATTTAAAGTTATTTAACACAGACCATATTGAAAAAATAAATCTATGGAAGGGAAAAGGTAGTGAAGATGATAGAACAGAGGAGAATAAGTTTTCTTGTCAGCATGCTTTCTCTTTTTCTGGAACAAGTATAAATTAAGAATGGAATGTTTTAGTCATTATCAAAAATATAACAAGATTAATTTAAACTACATAAATCAAGAAACTGATAATGTAAATTATAAATTATTGGATTTTTTTAACACTCAGATTTCTTAAATGCAGCTGGCCCCCACTAAATGACCACTCATACAGCAACTGTTCAAACTTACAATGATGTTGAATGAGTGGTACTTACAACCAGTCCTTGTACTTATATTGGTCACAGCATCTCCACGGTCACGTGTTTGTCATTTATAAACTTCTTTGCTAGCTTCCTACAAGCAAAGTTAATGGGGACGCTGGCAGGAAGTCACAAATGGTAACCATATGTTGTCCTCGCTTAACAATCCATGGTGATTTGCTTAATGACAGCAACCAGAAGTGCTGGAATGTCCGTTGCTAAGCTGCAGGGTCACGTGGCATCATGCTTTATGACCACATTGCTTAGTGGTGGAAATTCCAGTCCCAATTATCATTGTTAAATGAGGACTACCTGTATCTAAGTACAGAAACTAGATGAAATCTCAAAAACATACTGGCACTTTTCAAAGAAAAATCATTAAAAAAACAACCAAAAGAATTACAATATACAGTAAAATGTTTGTAAATATTTTATATTTAGGAAAGTTTATGTTGTCATAGTTAAAACAGGAATATTTAAATGTTTTTAAATTGGAAAAAAACATTAATGAAAAACATTTTGGGGAAAAATAACCTGTTCGCATAACATACCAGGGCTGGGCAGGTCATATGCAGCCCAGCAAACCAATTTTTCTTCTCTTGTAGCCCAATATTACACAGCCAAAGTTTAGTAACGAAACATGGAATTTTGGTGGCACAACCTCTCATTAAAATATAGATAGATATAGATATAAAACTAATGAATTAAACCTCTAGTAAGGTAGTTTTACTAAAGCCATAAAAACAACATTCCCGAAAGGCTTGCAAAAGGGTGAATGTTCTGCTTTTGGTTCCTCTGGAAAAAACAGCAAACCTCACTAGAACCCCTTTGCTCCTCAGCAGCCAAAAATGTGTGCCTGCTCTTCCTTCCTTCCTTCCTTCCTTCCTTCCTTCCTTCCTTCCTTCCTTCCTTCC